TTTTTAATGGGTCTGAGGGGAGTTTTTCATATACTTCAGTATCATTAAGTTGCCTATTAGCTTCTTCTATATACATCTCACTGGATAGTATAACTATCCCTCTGCCCTTGTCTGCTGGTTTAATGATTATATTACTATCTTCTTGTAGTTGTTTAATTGCCATTCTTTCTGCTTGTGATAGGTTCTGGAGGTCATATTTTGTGTGTTGAATTTTCTCAAGTTCTTTTAAAACTAATTTCTCGAACATTATGAGAGGAGATTATTTAAAATGGGACGGATAAAATTAGAATCTTTCATTTAAGTTAGTATTAAGAGTTTGAAGTTCATCTGAATGTCCCGTATTATCTTTCTCTATAAAAAATATTTTTAAAGTGGCTTTGCATACAAATTTATTTACATAAAATGTTCGGTTGGTGCAAATTTTAAGCCTTTGTCGAGAACCTCACATCCACTGTAACACAATGATCTATACTTCTACCTACTTCTTCGTAGAATGCAATTAGTTTAGTTTGACAGGACCTATGTCCATAAAACCATACTGGTTATTGCTAATAACAAAGTTCTTCCCAATGAATTCCTAAATATTATCCCTTAATAGCCCTTCAAATATCTTCCCAGTCACAGAAGTTAAGCTCACAGGTCTGGATATTGAACCCTTTTTAACCCCTTAGTGACCAGACCGGTTTTCAATTTTCTTACCGTTTGGGACCAGGGCTGTTTTTAAATTTCTGCAATGTTTGTGTTTAACTGTAATTTTCCTCTTACTCAATTACTGTAACCCACACATATTATATACCATTTTTCTTGCCATTTCAATGGTCTTTCTAAAGATACCATTCATTTCATCATATCATATCATTTACTATAAAGAAAATCGGAAAATATGATGAAAAAATGTAACTAACTTTGACCCCCAAAATTAGTTACGCATCTACAACCGCCAAAAACACCCATGCTAAATTTTGTCCTGAGTTTAGAAATACCAATGTTAACATGTTCTTAGCTTTTTTTTGCAAGTTACAGGGAAATAAGTACAAGTAGCACTTTGCTATTCTCAACCCCCTTTTTTTTTTCAAAATTAACGTGTTACATTGTAACACTGGTATCTGTCAGGAATCCATGAATAACCCTTCACATGTATATATTTTTTTAAAAGACAACCTAAGGTATTAAACTATTTTCATGCAACCATTTTACCGCCAATCTATGCCAAATTTAAAAAGAAAAATTATAATTGGTAATTTTTTTGACACACATAGCAATTTAAGAATACATGTACTGAGAACTTTAAGAGTTACTGCCAAAGAACACCCCAATATGTGTTCAGCAACATCTCCAGAGTTCAGTGATACAACCCATGTATCCATGTGTGTCAGGTTCTCTGGGGGCTAAAATACCTTATTTGGAATTTTCACAACTGGTCATCATGCACTCATGTCCTATTTGGGACATTTTTGAAGCTGGCAAAGAAAACTTATAAAAGACGAGATGAAAATAAACCATCATCACCACAAGATCTAACTAAAAACAACAAATATCATGTTCTATCCTTCTGCGATCAATTTGATGAAACATCTCTTTTAGAGATCCCTTCCAACAGAGAAAGACAGACTCACCACCTCAATATCATACCTATAAAAAGCCACAAGAGAGGACTAGAGGGAGGAGATCTGGCAGAAGACAACAAAAAAGGAAGGCTAGAAAGTTTTTAGATTATAAAGCATATGAGACACCTACTGGTATTTTTAATTTATCCAATAAAGTCTTGAATACAACAGAGACAAATATTCTAAAACGAGGTTTAAAATTTGCTCCAACAAAACCATACAATTCCTTCCTAGCCTATATAGACGTAAATAAATTTGTCAGGAACACGACTTTAAAACGTTTTTTTGTTAATAAAAACAATTCTAATCAAAATGCCAATACGGTAAATACAAATATTAAACAATACAAAAGCAGTGAACTGAAAAATAAATCCACTTTTTACCCTGCATATCTTAAATCTAGCGCATTGGATATATTTGAAAAGAAAGTATGCAAGGACCTAAAGATCTTAGATACTAAAAAGATAAGAGATAGACCAAATATGAATAAGAAAGAAATGAAAATATTGAAAGACCCATATAACGATACTTCAATAGTAATTAAACCAGCCAATAAAGGCAGAGGTCTCGTTATTCAATCTAAAGAAAAATATGAAGCAGAAGCTTATAGACAGCTTAATGATCATAATACTTATACTAAATTAAACAAAGATCCAATAGTAGATATAAAATTTGAATTTTATAATTTTTTTAAAAAGGGAAAAGATATCGGAATTCTAAGAGAAAAGGAGTACAATTATATAAAAATACAATTTCCAAAGATGCCAGTGATATACTTTCTCCCAAAAATTCATAAAAACTTAAATGACCCACCGGGACACCCCATTGTGTCGGGAATAGGATCCCTTCTCTCAAATTTATCTGAATATATCGATATAATGTTACAGCCGTACGTCAGACAAACAAAATCATATGTGAAAGATACAATAGATCTCTTGAAAAAGTTGGAAACCATTACTTGGAAAAATGATTATATACTTATTACATGTGACGTACAATCATTATATACGATCATTCAGCATGATAAGGGATGCCAAGCAATAAGATCCATTTTGGAACGAGATGACTCTATGCTTCAAGAACAAATAGATTTTATTATTGATGGTATAGATCTAATCTTGAAGCATAATTATTTTTGGTTCAGAGATAGCTTTTATTTACAGAAAACTGGGACAGCCATGGGTACCAGGTTTGCACCCAGTTATGCCAATCTCTATATGACGGAGTGGGAAAATCAGTCCGTCTGGAGGGGGCATGACTGGGTGGAAAGCCTGGTATCCTATTCTCGCCACATAGACGACCTTCTGTTCATCTGGAGGGGGTCTGTTAGTTCAGCCAAGGATTTTATCTCTTTTTTAAACCACAATGAAGAAAGCATAGTTTTAACGACAGATTTTATATATATATTGAGAATAATAAAATACAAACAAAAACACATTTTAAATATGTAAATGTAAATAATTATATAAGTACTGATAGTTGCCATAACAAAATTTGGCTAGACAGCATACCCAAAAGCCAAATGATGCGCCTAAAAAGAAACCGTTCAGACAAATCTGTGTTTTTAAAGCAAGCAGATACATTAAAGAAAAGTTTTATACAAAAAGGCCATAATGTTAAACATATCGATTCAACTATTAATCAAACAGCCACAACAAATAGGAATCATCTTATACATAAGGTCAAAACTCCAGTGACTCAGAGTAATCCTGATTTTTCCTTACCAATTGTATTAGATTACAATAATAAAAATAGACAATTGAAGACAATTAACAAAACATTGGCATTTATTGAAGGAAGATGAAAATTTAGGTAAACTAATCCCTGACAAACCAAAAGTAATATTCAGAGGAGCACCTAATCATAAAATGAATTTAACAAAAAATTTTACAAAAAATAGTCCTAATAGAATTAATAACTTTATGGACAAAAAAGGTTTTTATAAATTCAAAAGCTGCGTGGCATGCAAGAAAACAAAAACCACTAAAAGAACCATTACTGATTTTAAATCAAATATCACAAATAAAATATACAATATAAAAGAGGTCATTACATGCAACAGCAAAAATGTAATCTACTTATTGGAATGCCCATGCGGCCTCCAATACGTAGGTAGAACGATTAGGCCATTAAAAATCTGAATTGCAGAACACTGCAGAAATATAGAGAAAGGTTTGCAAAATCATTCAATACCAACTCACTTTTGCATGCACAACAATGACCTTAAACAGCTCACATTTATTGTGATTAAAATAGTTAAGAATCACTGGAGAGGAGGAGATGTTATAAAAAAGATTGGTCAAACTGAAATGCAGTGGGTATACCCAGGGCCGGATTAAGAGCACAGTGGGCCTGGTGCTGACAATTATGATGGGCCTAATTACGGAATCTTATCGACCAAAAACATTAAAACAATTATACCTCCAAAGCTTCATGTATCTGATGGAGATGGTGCTGGAGGGAAACTCATAGGATGCAGCTATAAGAAAACACATACTATATGCTAATCCAGCAAATGCACACAAGTTTTGTTCCCATACATCCCTCTTAAGCTTCCAAACTTAAAGGGACACTATAGTCACCAGAACAACTACAGCTTATTGTATTTGTTCTGGTAAGTAGAATCATTCCATTCAGGCTTTTTGCAGTAAACACTGTCTTTTCAGAGAAAATAACTCCACTGGCTGCTCCTTAGAGGGCTGCTAGAGGTGTTTCCTGGGGCAGTACTGCCTAGTGTGCAGCACTGCCATTCAGTGTCTCCACCCTCTTCATGCAGACTCTGAACTTTCCTCATAGAGATGCATTGATTCAATTTATCTTTATGATGAGATGCTGATTGGCCAGGGCTATGTTGGACTTGTGCTGGCTCTGCCCCTGATCTGCCTAGTTGACAGTCTCAGCCAGTCCTATGGGGAAGTATTGTAATTTGCTCAGACCACCACTTCTGAGCCAGCAGCTGCAGAATTTAATACAAGTAATATTTTACTATATTTAGGGAGGCAAGAAGGGGCCAGTGTGGTGGTTTTAACATTATAGGGTCAGAAATACATGATTGTGTTCCTGACCCTATAGTGCTCCTTTATGCAAGAGTATGTGAAGAGTAGTTAAGGTTGCCACCTTACTTGGAAAAAAGTACCAGCCTTAATAATTTGTATAATTAATTGGTTATGCGTGACATCACATGATGTAAATCACAAGGAGTGACATCAGAGAAAATTCTATAAAATCACCAAACTACTCACAGTTTGATTCTGTATAGATGGATTGCTCCCAGTGTCTCCCTGTCTCTCAGTGTCTCAGTCTCGCAAGTCACCCAGTGTCTCAGTGTCCTTATGTATCACAGTGTCAGTGTTCCCCTGTCGCCCAGTCCCCTAGTCTCCCAGTGTCTGTGTCCCCATTTCTCCCAGTGTCCCAATGTCTCAGTGTGTCCCCATGTCACTAGGATACTGGGGACACTGAGAAACCCAGGGACACTGAGACATTTAGGGAAACTGGGAGAAATGGGGACACTGAGACACTAGGGACACAGACATGGGAACACAGACACTGGGAGACTAGGGGACACTGGCTGGGAGACAGACACTTGGGGACACTGGGAGACATGGGGACAGTTGTGGACAGTTGTGGACATAGACATGTGGACACTGGGACATATAGGGACACTGGGAGACATGGAGACACTGAAACATTTGGGGACACTAAGACACTGGGAGACTAGGTGACACTGGGAGACTAGGGGATACTGGGAGACTAGGGGACACTGGCTGGGAGACAGACACTTGGGGAGACATGGGGACAGTTGTGGACATAGACATAGGAACACTGGGACACATGGGGACACTAGGCACACAGAGACATGGGACACAGACACTGGGAGACTTGGGGACACTGAGACACTAGGGACACTGGCTGGGGGACATAGTGTCTCCGTGTCCCAATGTCTCCCAATGTCCCTATGTCTCTCAGCGTCCCCATGTGTCTCAGCATCCCCTAGTGTCTCAGCGTCCCCTAGTGTCTCAGTGTCCCCAGGTCTCCCAGTGTCTGTGTCCCCATGTGTCCTAGTGTCTCAGTGTCCCCTAGTGACCGTGTCCCCATGTGTCCCCTAGTGTCTCAGTGTCCCCTAGTGACAGTGTCCCCATGTGTCCCCTAGTGTCTGTGTCCCCATGTGTCTGTGTTCCCATATGTCCCCAAGTGTCTCAGTGTCCCCATGTTTTCCAGTGTCCCCAAGTGTCTCTGTGTTCCCAGGTCTCCCAGTGTCTGTGTCCTAGTGTCTCAGTGTCCCCTAGTGTATGTGTCCCCTAGTGTCTGTGTCCCCTAGTGTCTAAGGGTCTGTGTCCCCTAGTGTCTCAGTGTCCCCATGTGTCCCCTAGGGTCTCAGTGTCCCCATGTGTCCCTGCTGCCTTTCCCCCGATCCCTCACTTACCTGAGCTCTAGAGCTGCTGTCTGGACTCTCTGTGCTGTGTAGCTGCTCCCCCACACATCAGTGAGTAGTAGAGAGAGGCAGGGATATTTTGTAACTTCCTATCCCTGCCTCTCTCCACACACAGTGACCCCTACTGGCCGGTGCTGGTATTGCAGAGTAATTTCCATTTATTCTGAGAAAATTACCTGCATTTGTATTGCTGGTATTACTGCAATACCGGCAGGGCCAGGCAGCCTCAAATACCGTCTGTGCCATTAAAATACCAGTCAGGTGGCAAACCTAAGAGTAGAGTGTAAAAAAAAAATGTACAAAAAAAAAATTTTTTTTTTTTTTTTTTTTAAATGGGCCTATTCCATGGGCCTGGGCCTGGAGCTGCAGCTCCATCAGCCCCTATGTTAATCCGGCCCTGGGTATACCAGTTAGATACCCTATACCCCAAGGGATTAAATGCTGAATTTGATTTATACAATTTTTTATAAATTTTTTACCTTATTCATTTTTATACACCTCTTTTATACATTTTTTCAGCATATTTCGTTTACAGTATCTTTTTTATAACAGACCTCAATATGTATGTTTTTTTATGTATTTGTATCCATATCTATAGATTTTACTTTATTTACATATATGCTTGCTAGCCAGTTTTAACATTTTCCTTTTCTATTATTGAGATACGCTCCTATATTTATGTATATGTTTTCAATATTAATACTAATAATTTTATTTACCATCATTTTATTACTAGTATCCACTTTTTTGATTATGGTCTATTATTTATATTTTTGATTATAGACCCATCATTGTGCTATATACTCCAGAGTAGTACAGCCCCCCTTTTTTCTCTATGTTAATCACTATCTGTATTAACACAATTATTTATTGTGTTATTTTTCAATATAGGCATGTATCTCATAGAAGTATAACCTTTTTTCTTTCTTTTGTACATATTATTTATATTTGTACAATCCATTTTAACTTATATTTCATCTTTCTGCTTTATGTCATTTTATATTGCTTATTGCTGCCCAAATCAAATATGGCCGCCAAGCCATATTTACATCAATATATGCCCACACTTCACTCCATTAGGTATTGGAGCGGGCAGCGCTCGGAACGCTACGCACGCCATATATTGGTGGTGCGTGCGTCCCAATGCGCTAGAATACTGTTTTAATTCTTCATTTAGACGCCGCGGGCATTTCGGGTTTGACGCGAGCACCGCGTCATTTCAGGTATGACGCGCATGCCGCGTCACTTCCGGTATGACGCGTGCGTGTCAACCCCAAGCCGGAACCCGTAACCAGGAAGCAAACACACCAGGAAATCATCTTATCAACTAGGATATAAAAACTGACTTTTGGACATTATACCACACTTCTGAAGAAGCCTGTTTAGGCGAAACGCGTAAAGTGGGACTTTTTATTATATTTTTTTTTATCCTTTACTGTTTTAATTATATTAAAGTATACTTTTCAAAGTTACTTTTTACATTTATTATTTTCTTATTTCCTGGATCCTGTATATCCTTGGTGGGGATTATACCACCTAAGCTGTTTATACTGGAGCAAGTTATATGCTCTAGAAAGTGTAAGTACAATACTTTTTATTATTTAATATATTATTAGTACTTACTTCACCATATTGCTACTATCTACTATGCACATTGCACCTTGAGAACATCCGTGGCAACTACTACGAATCCAAAGACGGGGATTGTACCGTCCAGGCGCTTCACAGTAGAGCTCTGTTATAGCTCATTCAAATGTGAGTGGACTGTACATAGCTATAATTGATTGTATTTAAGATATAATCTACCGTATTGCACTATTATTTCTTATTTTTTTCCGAGGTTACGATTGATTGGAATATTCAAGGACATATGTATGTATTTTTTGCATATATAAATTACTAGGCGCGGTATACGCCTTCTTTCTTTCTATTACTCACTCACAAGGTTGGGGAATCCTTGTTTTGTATACTGCTGCCTGATCACTATAGTGAGCGCCTATTATTTTCTGTTTCTATTCAATGTAATTTACCCCTATCAAACCATATATTTTTTTTAAAATAGACAACCCACGGTATTCAAAATGGGGTATGTCCACTCTTTTTTTTAGTAGCCACTTAGTCACAATCCCTGGCCAAAATTAGCATTTATATATTTTTTTTGCATTTCTTTATACATAAACTGCCATTTCACCGATGATATTATCAATATAATAAATTTTACTGCTCTAAAACACTGATATTTGTGTAGAGTAATGTCTCATGAGTACAACAGGGTACAACATAGCAACACTGGCTACATAGCCAGTCTGGCAAATAGCAATTTACAAAAATAGAAATTGGCAAATCTTATGTTTGACCCTGTAACTTTCCAAATTACCATAAAACCTATACTCGAGGGGTACTGTTGTACTCGTGAGACATTACTCTACATATAGAATGTGGAATGTGTGTGTGTATATATATGTATGTGTGTGTGTGTATAATATATATATATATATATATATATATATATATATATATATACACACACACACACACACACAATACACAAGATCCAGCGCACTCACCTATCCACTAAACAGCAACTTCAATGTTGAAAGATTTTATTTGTTTTTTTTAAAAACACCTAATCTAGGCAAAAATAATGGGGGTTTAGTTACATTATATGATCATACATTGCATAAATTTGGGAGTCTAGCCAACTCCTTGGTTTTGCACCCCTCCCTGTCACAGGTGCCTCATCCCAGGGCCCTATTTAGCCTTGTACTGCAGAGAGCCCCAGATGGAATTTTTTCCCCAAGTAGGTTAATCTCATAAGAGCAGACATTAGGCTGTTAGTGTAGGACCTGCCAAAGATGGGGTACATTGACGCTGTGGCAGGCTTATGCAATGTATGATCATATAATGTAACTAAACCCCCATTATTTTTGCCTAGATTAGGTGTTTTTTAAAAAACAAATAAAATCTTTCAACATTGAAGTTGCTGTTTAGTGGATAGGTGAGTGCGCTGGATCTTGTGTATTGTATTATTTGGCCCCCAGCAGCACCCCCATTTATGCATGTTAAGGTGAGTGCAGCCAACCCCTCTTGTTTTATATATATTTGGGAGTCTAGCCAACTCCTTGGTTTTGCACCCCTCCCTGTCACAGGTGCCTCATCCCAGGGCCCTATTTAGCCTTGTACTGCAGAGAGCCCCAGATGGAATTTTTTTCCCCAAGTAGGTTAATCTCATAAGAGCAGACATTAGGCTGTTAATGTAGGACCTGCCAAAGATGGGGTACATTGACGTTGTGGCAGGCTTATGCAATGTATGATCATATAATGTAACTAAACCCCATTATTTTTGCCTAGATTAGGTGTTTTTAAAAAAACAAATAAAATCTTTCAACATTGAAGTTGCTGTTTAGTGGATAGGTGAGTGCGCTGGATCTTGTGTATTGTATTATTTGGCCCCCAGCAGCACCCCCATTTATGCATGTTAAGGTGAGTGCAGCCAACCCCCTCTTGTTTTATATATATATATATATATATATATATATATATATTTATTTTGTGATCCTTGTCAGCAGGTAGCACGGTCCTCTAGGGCAAAAACATGCACAGTCCTTGTAATTGCATATAATCCAGTCACTTTATTTGCATATCCACACAGGATACAGCAGTAAATTAAAACATAAATGTAACACAAAACCCTATAAATAAAAACCTAGCTCGGTCTGAGCACTAACTCACTTTGAACATCCCTCTCTATCAGGGTTAACTAACAAAACATATGGCACCAACCTTATTAGTTAGCAACACTCTGCTGGCTAGCCTGTTGAGTTCCTTTCCGCACTCCTAGTGCTCCAAGCCAGCCTTGCCCTGACTGCTTTCCTTTCTGCACTCCCAGTGCTCCAAGCCAGCCTTGTCCTGACTGCTTTCCTTTCCGCACTCCCAGTGCCTCCAAGCCAGCCTTGACTGCTTCCTTCTGCACTCCCAGTGCTCCAAGCCAGCCTTGACTGCTTCCTTTTTGCACTCCCAGTGCCTAGTCTCCTTGACTCTATCTGGAGAGATCAGCCTCTCTCCTACCTGCTTCCTGGGAGGAAGCCAGCAATCCCTCTCCTTTACCTGCCTAGCAGGGAGGAGTTTATTCCCACTGCAACAGCTCATTAACTGCAGCTGAGCAGTGGG